TTCCCACAGCCACAAGGGAGCAGGAAGTGCAACTCCACCCTATGGCTAAAATGGGAGAGAATGATAACTATTTGGCAAACGGTACTAATGATTACTTCAGTAGACTTGGCATTTTTACAGCTAATGTTATGTTTAACCTCATGTCAAAAATAACATAAAGCATGTTGGCGACTGTGGCCTGTAGAACATATTTGGACATTTGATTACAGAAAAGCTTACTTATAAAGTAGTATAGCTATTCCAAAAGGTTTGAAACAGTTCTACTCTCTTTAAGTTACTGTAAATTTCACCCTAACTTCCCACCCTGATAAAAAAAAAAGACAGAAATTGTAGTCTCAGTATTTTGGGGGCTCCTGTATCAGGGCTAGACATCCAGAGAAGATCTTTGGCTAGATATAACCCTAGGGCTATGACTAAGACTTCAGTTCTCTGGGCACTGCAGGGACCTACGTCATTCAAGCTCTGCTGCTCTGGACAAACTGTGAGGTGCCAGACATCGATGAGGGTAAGAAGCCCAGTGGCAATTGTTCAGTCTCCCACAGAATACCACAAAGATCTTCCAAGCATGCTAACCTCCTTAGAACACTGTCACCAAGTCGTGGCAGTGTCTAAGAACGGGACTTCACTGGTTTTTGCTCCTCTCTTATCCTGAAGTCAAGTCTTCCTGTCCGTGTAGCTCTTCAAATGATGGTAAGCACACTCTCTCTCCTCTGAGACTAGCTTGTTCCTTGGATAAAGAAGATTTGCCTCCCATGATTCCTGTCTTCATTCAAAGAATTGAAGAAGACCTGTGAAAGTAACTGCCACAGAAAAATCCCAAAGGGTGTTAGAGTACGAATTAACTTAAGTAACAAACAATGGATGGAACAAGGGTAGGGTTGGAAGAACAGCATTAACGTTTCTTAGGCATCCCCGTGAAGCCAGGTTTCTGCCATGTTTTTATTTACCATCAACTTCACTGCCACAGAAATACAGTGAAGTAGAAATAATGAGCCAATTTCACAGAAGAGGAGAGCAGCTCAGAGGCTCCAGGTATGCACAGAGGAAAACAGTGCTACCCACCACTTACGGAGCTTATGATGTACCAGTCACTGCTGCTATGTGAGCAGGGTACCAAGAAGTGTAACTGTTCCTATTTTAAAAGTGAGAAAGTGGAGCCATACATAATTTAAGAGACTTGCCACCAAAGTTCCACAGCTAGAGAATGATGAGGTCCTATAGGACCCATGACAGTCTGGCTCCAAAGTCATTGCTCCAAATGATTGTGCTGTCCCACTGAAGGAGAGGGAAGGGGAATTGGAGAAGAAGGAACAGAAGAATACAGACACAGACAGCAAAGGTGTAGATATGTTCTAAAATTTAGCGTTTGCCAAAATTACTTAAGACTTTTTCTAAAGAAGTTTGATGCACTTCCAGGGAACTGAGCGTGGGAAATACGCCCTGGAACAAGTTTGCCACTTGGGGGTGAAGGAGCACAGACTCAGCCCTGACTTCCCACACAGACACCAGATTTCTGGATCCCCAACACCTTTCAGCTGAAAGGTAAATTAGTAATGCTTGCCTTTGCCTAAGATTAGAATAGAAAGGCCCCGTCAGCATTCCAAATAGAGCAGCTGATGATGTAATAGCTAAATATTCAAAACAACTTTCTCTAAAGTGGTGTATGAAGGCCATGACATTTTCTTCCCAGGTGCCCTTTCTTGACAGATGGTTTAAACACTAACCCTGCGCAAGTTGTTTGGGGTCAGCTCTGGGAACAGCCTATATGATTGTTTTCCCTCAGAGAGAAAAGCTTCACCATTCCTGTTTAAGCAGCCTTACTACTTTTAGCTCGAGAAAGTATGCACGCTACATTAGCTTCTCAGAGGAGTGGGGAGCAATTCCACTCTTTTCAGCAATATGAATGTATATTGTGTGTGCTCGTATCCATGTGATTGTGTGCAATGTGCCCATCACATGAACTACTTTGCAGATGATTTGATACATTTTAACAACACAGACAGGTTTTTTATGCCCGAATTAGCATAAATATCTAAGCTGAGTCTACCAGATCACTAAAATAAATATGTCCCAGATATCAAAACTCAGAATCACAGTTGGATGCCCTTGGTTAAATGCCTTGAAGGTATGCCTAAAATGCCGGATGGAATCTAGAGAAATGACTCCATGATTAAAAACATTTCATGCTCTTCCAGAGGACCCAGAATTCATGTCAGATGTTCACAACTGTAACTCCAGCTTTATGTAATCTGATGCCCTTTTCTGACCTTTGACCCCAGCTGCATGCGCATTCACGTACACATCTCCACATATGTTCACACAATACTTACATCTTTAAAACATCGTAGGCAATTCTTAAGGTTGGAGAATGGTTTATAATGAGGAGAGAAACTATGTGAAGGATTACCATATGTATCATGAGTCGCTTTCAATCCTCACTTGTTAAATTACCTCTTTCCTTAATTCTTCCAGAATAGACTTGAGGCGATTTTATATAATTGAGTATCTTGATTGTGGAAAGTGATGTAGCATGTAAGCACATAAAAACACTTTACCAATTCTTCTCACCATATAATTTCCATAATTTTACAAAAATGTCCAGAAGAATATCTGAAAAGCTAACAACCCAATATTATGTGTGCTAGTGAATATATACCTTCAGTACCATCCCCTGACGAAGCATGTTCTAGATTATAATGTCTACCTGTACTTCAACTGACCATTTGGAAATGATTAAAAACATCTGTGAGTGTTCTCCTGTTTAACATTTTATTTCCAAGTCAGACTATTAACAGTTTAAGCACACATGGGAGAGAATCAGTTGCCTTTCAAGTCAACATATTAATATGTTTGTTACTTTTGAAGGTGTTTTTTAGTCATTCCAATTACTTTTTCATTAAATGCACCTTAATGTGTTCTGTTATAATGAATGATATTAAATTCATACTAGATGCAGTACAGGCAATTTATCTTTTATAGAAACATTAAGCAAAAGGAAGATTTTAAATTAATGTGACTAGCGTGTCTTTCTGTGTGCAGTGAATGTATTTTGTATACTAGACTTACTATACAAATAGTAAAACTAACAACATCACGCTACGCATTGCGTTGGCGTGGGGACGAATACAATCCTTCTCTGTTTTGTTCTAAGCATTCACTTTTCTCCCATGGCTCTGTGCATTTCTCCCATTGAAAGTGTCCCCTTCGACTCCACCTGATTGTTTTGCTCCTTTCACACTTCTGGTCTAACCCAGTCAACAGGTGCAGCAGGAAATTGGTTCCCCTAGGGACTCTCTTCACAGTCACACCTACCTGACGTTCAGTCTATTCTCAAGATGCCCTACAGAGCTTTGTGTCTGAACAAAGGTGACCAGCCCACTGGGAAAGGTAAAGCTGTTTTTTCACACACTTGAGCCCACATCACCTTAGGGCAAGAGTTGGCACATGTCTTTGTTCTGTCGTTTTGTTTTTATTTATTTGTTTGTTTGTTTGGTTTGGTTTTAGTTTGTGTTTGTTTGGTTGATTGGTTGGCTGGTATGGTCTGTTTTTTTGAGACAGGATTTCTCTGTGTAGCCCTGGATGACCTGGATCTCACTGTGCTGACCAGGCTGGCCTTGAACTCAGAGATCCTCACGCCTTTGCTTTCCGAGTACTGGAATTAAAGGCATGTGCAGTACCATTGCCTGGCTGGGTTCTTTGTTCTTGAGAGTCCACACACAATGAAGAGAATATTGGGAGGCCTTTAAAAGGAGCTGGGAAATAAACTCATAGTTCTGCTCCTTGCACTCCATGGTCTTCAGAAATGTGGCAATTGGCAGGGATATCGAAGACCTCTTGGGGTAAGGTGGATCTGACAGCCTCTAAGCTGATGGCAGTCTCCCTTCCTCTCCCATGTCCTTTCCCACGAGAAGTAGAGACTGAAAGACTAATGTTTATGAGACTGTGGCTGTACACTAGGAGCCGGGTAGTCATTTGCTCCGTGCGATCACCTAACCCCAGGACCTCTCATCAACAAAGAAGAGGCACATGTGTGTAGCAGCTGCTCACTCTGATCATAGGGCTTCAAGAATGTTCTGCATAGATAGAAAGTCTTTCTCTTTAGACTGTAGCAACAACTCACATGCCTGGATACAATTTGAAAGGCCTCACTTCTGATGTCTGTGACAAAAAAGAAGACAGTACTTTTTTCTTAGATTACTGGATATTTGGAACTGGACCGATGAGTGTGCTGTGCTCAGGTGCATGGTCCTAGCCTTTGTTTTGTTTATTGGAGGACAGAGAGTCCCGCGAGGACTAGAACTCTTAAAGTCTTTGTGTTCTCCTGGATAATCACTCTGCACACCACCTGCTGGGGATTTATTTCGTTTCCAATTCGCAAAAAGAAAAAAGGATCTTTGGTTGTCTAGACAAGTTGCAAGGATTAATGCCCGTGAATGCTTTCATATCCTCAGATTCAAGGTGAAATGGGCAGCAGCGCGGAAGAAACGCAGGGTAGGGGCAGAAGTGCTCAACTACTGAGAGCGGCTCTTGAATTACTACCCCCTAGTTCTGTTTGGGTCTCTGCTCCCCACAGATGTTCACCCTGAGCACCTGGTGACCAACCCTTCACTCAAGTGGCTTTGGGGTGTCTACTTTCGGCCCTAGGGTTAATGGTGAAAGTCGGAGACCAGGTGGGGCGCCCACATGCGTCCCAGACCTGGGTGGGCGTCCGAGGTGAGGGGGCGCTCTTTGGGCAGCAGTGAGCTGGTGGCGGGCGGAGAGCTGCCAGACTGACAGAGAGGCCGGCCGGAGTGGGGGCCGTTCCGTTGCCGCCGTCGCTGCCGCCGCCGCTGTGATGCGAAGCCGGAGCTGCGCCGGGCGGTGGAGTCAGAGCTGGGGCGCGGGAGCACGAGCTGCAACATCAGCACCAGCGGCGGCGGCGGCAGCACCTGCAGCAGCTCCCGGGCCCCGCGCTTTGATCTACGCCCCGCGGCGCCGGGAGCCGCCGCCCCGCGCTCTCTATGGATGTCAAGGCGGCCCCCAACGGGGTAGCCACTATCGAGGACCGGATCCTGCGGATTACTGGCTACTATGGCTATTACCCGGGTTACTCCAGCCAGAAAAGTAAGACGCCGGGAGGCCGTCCTGAACGAGATGAGGGTGGGAGGTGGGCGCGCGGGGGAGCGGTGCGGGAGGGCGCACCGTGGGACACCTGCAGCGGGGGTGTGCGCGTCCCTATCACATTCCTGGCCTTTTGAACCTTTGGGGCGAAAAGTATGTCCGCCGTCCGCTGTCCTAGGTGCTGAACCTTGAGGCAGTCATGGGGGCTGGCTGCTTGAACCCAGGAGTTTGGGGACAGTCTCAGTCGTGGGGGGTGGAGGCGTGCAGAGGACAGGACGAGCGCTCGTGGTTGTCGTCGGTCAGCTCACTGGTGGCTGATTTACGCTTAAAGGAGGCTAACATGGCTGTTCCACTAGCTGACCATCAGTCCTTGGGCTACTCACTTGGAAAGGCTTTACTGAGTGCTAGGGTTCTCTCCCCTGGAGCTGGGGACAAAGGCGGTGGGGATATTAGTTGGTTGCAGCTGGACTGGCTGGGTGGGTCAGCGTGTTCACCATGGGCCAGGAGATGTTGCCAGCATGGAAACTGGTCATGATAAAACGTCCTTAGAAGGTCCTCCGTGCCGGGCAAAGAAAGAACCTGCTCAGGTACCTGAATTGCGAGCTTGTAGCGAGAAATCATGGAAAAGGCGGGCAGAGTGGGATTGGGAAGTGAGACACAGCCACCCGCCCCCGCTGAACGTCGCGGCCACCACTGAGCTGTTGGATTCTAGTTTTATTCCGCCTAGGCTGAGATGCTCTCAGGCTTTGGGAGCAGTTACACACACACACACACACACACACACACACACACACACCATGTTGTTGAGAACAGGAGTGACAGGAGCCAGTGAGGGGCTCTATGTTCCAAGTCTCTACATTCTAGTTTCTTGACATATAAACCCACCACTATATCTGCTAGGGTTAGTTCTGCCAACCACCAAAGTGAAGCTTGTTTTTTGTTTGTTTGTTTGCTTATTTTTTTTTTTTTCCTGAACTGGGAGAGTAGCTTCGCTTTCATTTCCATGTAGGTGGAATTTCAGTTTTTCTTTATCAAAGCATTTCTGCCAAAAAAAAGAAGGAACTTAACTGATGTTTTTGCTATTATTTTTAACCAAATGCATTTTATATGCATTTCTGATTGATATTTTTTCTCTGACAGCTTGGGATGCCATCAATATTACAGAATCTGTGTGAAGCAGGGGACCCCCTGTAATTTTGACACATAGATGAAAAATCACTTCATTTCTCATGCAACTCTATACTGGGTTATGAGAGCATTGTCCTGTGGGCCATCCTCATACAGATATTTTCCAGTTTAATATTTTATCTCCTCCCAGGAAAGGCCTGTCTACTTTGGATGTTTCTGTCTAGCTGTTTTTAGCAATAGAGGCTTACATTATTCATTTCCATACAAAAGTAATTATATAGTGTTAGAATTTTCTGGAAGGAAAATAACATGCTGTGGAACATTCTTTGAAATCTTTTTACTACAATCTCACAATTTTGTAGTTTTTTTCCCTTTCCTATTGGCAAAGGGTGTTTTCTTTAACCCTAGACACGTGGACTGAAATCTTGACTAGATCTTGTAGAAATTATTTGAATGTCACCTTTGAATATTTAAATTAGAAACCAAGCATTTGGGTGGTCAAGAGAATGTAGAACTTGTCTCTAAAATTACAGAGTATTATAATTTCTGTGACAATGGTACTTTGGTTGATGAAGAGCAACCCAGAAAGAATACTGGGAAAGTAGCATTTTAGATAAGAACATGTTCATATTTTATTTTTGTACTTGCTCAAAGAGCTGCATATGTTTCATTTGCAAGACAATAACAGAGCAAAAAAGGGAAGTGCATTGGCCAAGGCTGTAACTGGAAGCAAAATATGGGAGGGATAAAGATACTTTTGGCATTGCTATTAGTGGTGGGCACTTGACTAAATTCAGGCTGCATTGTTCAATCAGTAAAGATAGCAAATTTCTGAAGAACAGAGCACTAAGGGTAGTCAATTTAAATCTCAGAATATACACTCTTTCAGAGCAAGAGAGACATTGCCATTTTGTACACACACATACAGAGAGGGGGAGAGAGAGAGAGAGAGAGAGAGAGAGAGAGAGAGAGAGAGAGAGAGAGGAAGCTGGAAGAAGGCCAGGAAACCAAACACCATGAAATAATCCTGCCCTTAATGCAGTCTTCAACTAGTAAACAAACACATTGAACCAACCAGTACAATCTGGTCAATTGATTTAGCTGCCACCAGGAGCAACAGCTTGGGGAAGTCTGGAGGCTTCTATTTAGAAACAAGCTCCAGCAAGGAGTATCAGATGTGTAAAGGTAAGGAGGCTTTCCTGTTCTGACTCATCACATAGGTGATATTCAGGATGGGGTGCTCTCTAGAGATCCTTGCTGCTTGCCAAAAAGGACATAGATGGGGGCTCACTTTTGGAAAATATGTCAATATTAGCCTTGTGATAATTTACCCTGTTTCTAAACTTGAATCCCATCCAGAACAAACTCTGATAGGGTAAAGAGATGAAGAAATGCAATCAAATATAAAGAAATTAAGATATTTTATGGGCCACTGGTCCATCAAAAAATTCTGTTTAATTTACTGATCAGTTTACTGAGCACACACATACACACACACACACACACGAAACAGGATAAATGCTAATCAAAATACAGTGGGTAACCTTGAGTTATCTGTGATTGATCGGGTAGGAGGAATAGACTCTCTTCTTATTAATTGTTAACTGAGCAATTCCTACATACAAGGAATGGGTCTAAAAAGACATATGAAAGCACTTTCATGTTTAGAGTTTGAGTTCCCATGGGGAAAGAGCCAGAAAATAACCTTATAAATATGTTTTGTACATGTCAAGGTGATAGTGATTTTCAAAAGGGCTGAAATGGGGGTCGGCAGAGCTTTCAGGACGTTAAATAGGAACAATTAAGCAGGGGTGTGGGAAATGTGGAGGAGTCAGCCATGTGAACGTCAGGAAGGAGACGTTCCAGGCAGTGGGGCCAGCCAGTCGTATGTACCTGTTTGGCATGGCAGAGAAACAGTAAGTGGGTGTTGCATGGTGGACGTGCAGTGAGTTACTGGAAGAGTATCCTGGAGATACAGAGAGTCAGATGAAATAGAACCTTATAGGTGCTTGATAGTTGTTTGGGTTGTTCTCTGAATGGCATGGGGAACCTTGCTTGGGTGCTGAAAATGGAATATGATAATTTGGCTTGCTTTTCAAAAGGATCAGTTACATCAATTAGTACATTATTTTGGTAACCTAGGAGAGAGACGATGGGGGCCTGAGTGAATGCATTGGAGGTGATGGTAAGTGTTCAGACTCAGAGCCAATAAGATCTCCTGGTGAACTATTTCTGGTATTGATAAGAAAGAGAAAAATAAAACTTATGGTTTGGGGTTTGACTAAGCTTGAACTGTCATGAGCAGTCGTGTGGAAAGCATTGTGATAGATAATGTTTCAGATATTCTAGATATGCTGTAGAGGTGGGTAAGTTCAGAGTTTCAAGAAGTCTGGTTGGAGATGCATTGGGGTTGTCCAGTATTTGACTTTGTTTTTTTCTTTTTTAAGTCTGAGACGGGGTGAGATCTCCCAGGAGTATTTGTAGAGCAGAGATGAGGTATAAGGACTGAACCTGGGAGCCCTCTGGCATTAGGAGGTCAGGATAAAAAATAAAAACCATTAAAGGAGGGCAAGAGAGCCTTCCAGGGAAGGTAGGAGGAGACTTCTGAAATGCAATGCAGTGGAAACCAGTTTTTCGGAAGGAAGAGGAATGTCAAGTATAATGAAGCCAACAACTGACCGCACTCGGCAATGAAGGGCCATAGAGACTTAATGAAACTATCAACATGTGTCGATCACATGCACTAGAATGTGTATAAAAGAGGCTTACAGGGAAAAATTGGGAACTGTAAATATAGATTCTTCAAGGATTTTGTTCAAAAGGAAGAGAAGAAATGAAGACAGTCGGGTCAATGATGGAGGAAGGTCATTGGCTAATAAAGAAACTGCCTTGGCCCATTTGATAGGCCAGCCTTTAGGTAGAATAAATAGAACAGAATGCTGGGAGGAAGAGGAAGTGAGCTCAGACTTGATAGCTCTCCTCTCTGGGGCAGATGCTATGAAGCTCCGACCCAAGATGGACGTAGCCTAGAATCTCCCTGGTAAGTCACCACCTCGTGGTGCTACACACATTAATAGAAATGGGCTAAGCAGTGTTTATATGAATACAGTTTGTGTCTTGTTATTTTGGGGTATAAGCTAGCCAGGCGGCTGGGAGCAGGGCAGCAGGAATGCAGCCTGCAGCTCCTTCTACAGGTCAAGAAGGAGTTAAAGTAGCTGGACAGTGATAGCGCACGCCTTTAATTCCAGCACCCAGGAGGCAGAGGCAGGTGGATCTCTGTGAGTTCAAGGCCAGCCTGGTCTACAAGAGCTAGTTATAGGACAGCCAGGGCTGTTAGACAGAGAAACCCTGTCTCAAAAACCCAAAAATAAATACATAGGCAGATAGATAGATAGATAGATAGATAGATAGATAGATAGATAGATTTAAAATTAATAAGACATTTCCATGGAAAGGTGAATGACTCAATAGAAAAAAGTTAGTGATGTCAGTGAGACAGAATATAGAAATGGCATTATTTTAAGAGGAATGTGGAGAGAGCAAAGATGTGAATCAGGCTCTAGAAGATAGATCGCCGAAATGGTGGTTGTCTTTTGAACTTCTCTTCTGAGTGTTTCAGTGTTGTCCAGACTGCAAGAAAAACCATCACCTGAACGTGGATGTGGATGAGGTAATAGAGGTTGTCAGGGAGAAAAGGCATGAACTGGTAAAGCAAACAGACAAGTAGATGAACCATGCAAGCTTAGGGGTCACCAGATATTTCAAATTTCCGGTCATAGATTTAAACTGAGACTAGTCAATAGATTGTCTTTTTTCTGACACAACAAAGGCATGGAACAAGTGAAGAGGATCTAAACTGAGTTGGAGAAGGTTAT